TGGAAGGAGCGGCCCTCCGCTCTGGCCTCTGTCCTCAGGCTGCCAAATGGGCACATGCGCGCTGCCCGCCCTCGGCAGCTCCGGTGGGAGGGGGCGCCAGGAAAGGTCGTCCCAAGGGCCTGAGTCACGCGCCCCGCCCGGACGCCGGACGCTGTGGTTTACGAGCGGCACAATGACACCCTGTGGTCTGGAGCCCGGCCTGCGCCCGGGCGGGGCGCACAGGAGCGGGGGCGGCAGCTCCGTGTCCAGAAGATGGACTTAGTCCCTGTTTGCTGCTCTGATAACTGAGTTGACCTTGGTTAATATTCACCAGCAGCCTCCCCCAGCGCCCCCCGGGTCCACAGCTTAAATACGGACCAGGACAGGGCTCTGTCTCCTCAGCCTTGGTCACCAGCCCCGGCCTGGGACAGTCAATCGTAAGTATGCCTTCCCCCGGGAAAGCCTCCGGGGCCTCCGACAGCCCGGGGCTGCAGGGAGGATGGAGCAGGGTGGGTGGGCTCTGTTGTCATAGTAACAGCACTCCTGGAGGTCCTGTCCTGCTCCCTCAGCTTGCTGGGTCTCTTCAGTACTCGCTGGTGACTAACTGGCCCACTGTGCACAGAAGGGAGTGAGCCTGCTCTGGTGGCCCAGCTCCTCTGTCCCTGTCTGCTGTCCCCTCCGGTGTCCCCTCCCGGACCCTGGGGGGGGGGGTATCTTTTCCCCTTCTACAGCTGAGAAGGTGAGGGCCCAGAGGGGACAGTGAGGAGCCCCAGTTAATGTAGGGGGTGGGGAGCCAGGCCAGACTGGAAGCCAGGAGTTCCAGCCGCTCACGGGCCTCCATCCTCTGCAGAAACTGTGCCAGGCTCAGCCTCGAGGCATCAAAATGGGCCCTCTCCCTCCCCACCCCCGTGCAAGTGGGCTCTGGCCACCCTCGCATATGGTGCGAGATGGGAACCCTGGGAGGGGCCACTGCAGGCGCTTCGAGCTGCGCTCCAGCGGGCATGGAGCTCCTCACGTGCAGCCCCGCCCTCAAGCCTCTCAGCAGCCTTCTGAGGGGGCTCCCATGGTTAGTCCCATTTTACGTGTGAGGAGAGGAGTTCTTCAGCCCAGTTCACACACCACCCAGGATCCACGCCCCGCCCACCCAGTTCCAGAACCCGTGCCCTGAGCCCCTGCCCATGGGCTACATTCATCCTTTCAGCCTCAGGGACCAGGTAGGGAACGGGACACCTGGGCTGGCCTCCCGGCCTCGGCGATGCTGGGGGACCCTGCACAGTTACTCGACCTCTCTGTCCTCCTGGGAAAATGTAGATAAACTCGGCCCTCTTTCTTCTCACCCCGCCCTCTGGTCTTGATCTCGGGAATGCTGGAAGGACATGATTTTTCTGCCCTTGGATTGGACTTTGGAAATGGGGTGACAAAGATGACCATGACCAAGGCCAAGGCCACGACTCCCACACAGTGCTCTGAAAGGCCCACAACAAAATCAATGGCAATGGCACTTCGGAGAGCTGACCGGGCGCCAGGCACATCTGGCACTTTGCCAGTAGTTCATTGCACAAGAACTCTCTGAGGAAGTGCAACCTTATCATTTTCAGAAACTCGAGGTTCAGAGAGGTCAAGTAACTTGTTCAAGGTCACACAGCTGGTAGTGGATGGAACTGGAGCATTCTGGCCTCACAGCCTCTGACCTTAGCCACCAAGCGATGCTGCTTTCGGTTTCAAGGTCTTTGGCTTCAGCTTTACCCACAGGGAAGGGTTAAATGCCAGGTTCTGGGATCAAAATGCCTAGGGTTTGGTCCCAGCTCCGTAAGCAATTGGCTCTGTGGTTCTCAGTAGGTTCTGAAATCTCTGCAGGCCTCAATTTCTCCATCTGTAAAATGGAGCTAATACTACTTTCCACCTCAAAGGGTAGGCTTTGAGAAGAGGTCATTTAAAATGCCTGATGTTACTAAGCATGACAGGGGTGCCGGGGTTGGCTGGGCATAGCTCAGAGGGAATAAATAACCTCTTGGAGAATTGACTTTAAATTTTTTTAAAAATATATTTTATTGATTTTTTACAGAGAGGAAGGGAGAGAGATAGAGAGCTAGAAACGTCGATGAGAGAGAAACATCGACCAGTTGCCTCTTGCACACCCCCTACCGGGGATGTGCCTGCAACCAACGTACATGCCCCTGACCGGAATCGAACCTGGGACCTTTCAGTCCGCAGACCGATGCTCTACCACTGAGCCAAACCAGTTTGGGCTGACTTTAAATTTTTCAAACTTGGAGGTGGGTCTTCACTGGGCAGGGGCCCCCTGCCTGGGCCTGGGCCTGGGCAACATAGCAACACAGTCTCTGGCCCCAGTCTCTACAGCAGGAGGAAGTCGGCCATTTCTCACGCGAGGCCCTGGCTGTGTGCAGGCGTGAGGTCCTCACCCACACCTCGTCTGTTCCTCACTCTGCCGGCCAGAGGTTCTTGTCTCCACGTTGCAGGCAGGAAGCCCGGCTCAGAGAAGTGAGGCACCTGCCCGAAGAGGCGGGGCCGGGTCTCCGGGGCTTATTAGTGCTGGTGCTTTCCTGGACCCGGGGTCACTCTCAGCCCTTCCCTTAGTGCTCCTGGGCGGGAACCGTGTGAGACCGGGCCAAGGGGTTGGCGCCCTCTCTCCCTCCCTGGCAGGGCTGTTCCCACCAGCCTGGAAATGTCACCGCACCATCGTCCTCGTCTGGGCTGTGAGCCTGGCCCACAGGCCTCCTCCCCAGGGGCTTCCCCAGCGTGGGGCTTGGGGGAGAAGTGCTACCTTTGAAAGAAGGGCTAGGAGACAGCAGACGTCTTGGGCCCTGCTGCCATAAGGAACAGACTGGAAGACTAAATGATCCCATAGGAGGCTCAAAGCCAAGGTCAGGGCCCCTCGGGGCCCAGTTCTGGCATTCATGGGATCTGAGAACTGAGGACATGGCTGGCTGAGTTGGAAGTTCAAGTGCTGGGAAAACCAAGGCTTGTTGCAGCTCTGTGACTGGCTCGCTGTGTGGCCTTGGCAAGGCTCTGCCCCCCTCGGGCCTCACTTACTGTAAGAGGAGGACCAGGTGAGGTGGGCAGCACCCAGGAAGGCGGACCGGGGTGATTAGGTGTGCACCAGCTGCAGCCCGCCCACCTGCACCCCCGCCAGCCGGCCCCCTTCTTGAGGCCAGCAGCGCTCTGGCTATGAGGGCACCCCCCATCCCTCCCCACGGGGAGCACGTTCCACTCCGAAAACCCAGACACTCTGTAATGAGAGCCACCGTTAGCTCACAGGGCCCTCACCCAGCCACCGCCCGCCTGGACTGCTCAAGGAGAGGTCCAGTGGCCAGTGGTGCCCTGTCAGGGTGGAAGCCACAGCCTTGGCCCTGAGGCCACTCAGCACATTTAGTGTCCACACCCTGTTGGCCAAAGCCTTCCTCACCTGAGTCCAAGGCAGCTTCTGCCACCCCTGAAGGCCACGCCAAGTCCAGTGGGAACTGGGAGGGACAGGAAGACGCAGAACTAACGCAGCCCTTCAGCTCTAACCACGGTGGCAAGACAAACGGGGCCGCGTTAGCGAACGTGGGCTGCCGGCTGGGCTCTTTACAAGCCTCCGCCAGACACCAGTCTGCGCCTCCTCGGGTTGTTTTCTGAGAAAGAAACTTGGACAGCTCCAGGGGGTGGATGAAACCAGAGTTGATTCCCAGCTTTCCCGGGTTTCCCATCCGGGTTCCGGGCCTCCTTGTGGTGGTCCTGCGAGAAGGGTTCAGTTCTGTGAGTCAGAGCCAGCTGTGGGCGGGTGTCTCCTCGCTCAGGCCTCAGTGTCCCCATCTGTGCAGAGGGCAGGCTTCCCCCGGGGGTGCAGCCGCTGGGCCGGGCCGGGCCTGTCTGTAGAGGGAGCTTTGTGGGGAGGGCGGCTCCATGTTGCTGTGGGTGGCGCTCACTTTGACCATCACTAGATGGAGTCTGCTCCTGCTGACCGCCCAGGTCCCCCCCCCCCCCCCGCTGTTCCTACTGCCACCCGCCAGGACCCTCTCCCTCCCGCCGTCCTCGGGAGGCGGCCGGGCTGCGCCCCCATAGAGCTGGGCCCTCCCCCGTAGAGCTGCCCGAGACCCCCTGGACGTACGATGTGGTGCCCAGACTCATTCCACTGCTTCTCCCAATGACCTCACTTCCTACGTGAGGCCAAGCGAGGGCCAGAGACACGAAATGACTCGTATCTAGAATAAGGTGACCAGACGTCCCGCTTTTGGCGGGACAGTCCCAATTTTTGGAATCTTTCCAAAAATCGGGACTTTTTTAAAACGCCGTGGGACACAGGAAAAATTGTTAGAAATCGGGACTGTCCCACCAAAAGCGTGACCATCTGGTCACCTTAATAGAACCCAGGTCTGTCTGACAAGAACAGAGATGCCACCTCCTCTCCCCCCCCCCCCCAAACACACAGAGAAACCCCGATACCAGAGAGCCCAGCATCTCCAGCGTCCACAGGCCCGCAGAGCCCAGCCGGGCCGGTGGTGACGGGGGTGAGCAGGCCGCCCATCCGCTGAGACCAGGTGCGGCCTCCAGAGCAGGAGCCACAGGAAGCCGCGCTGTCCCTTCGGAAACGGGCTCCACAGCTACCTCCGAGGGCCTCCACATGCAGGAACCCTGGGGCCTGGTCGGCCTGCTTTCTGGGCTCTCAGCCTGCCTTCCTCCTTCCGAGTGATGAGACGTACAGTGCGGACATCATGCAGAGCTCCCCTCAATGCCTCCCTCGCCTCAGGTCCCCCCATTATGAAATAGGGGCTTCGGCTCTGGCCCTTCAGGGTCACTGCAGCTTCACTGGGGCATCAGGAAGGTGGCCTCCACACCAGGACCTCCTGGATGTGCGATGCCGGGGAGGTGTGGATGGTGAGGATAAGAGCCTGCCTGGTACGAGGCTGCAGGAGGAGCAGCTGCAGCGGCTCCGGCTGCTGGGCGTGGTGTGAGTCAGGGGCCGGGGGCTCACTGTGGGGCCTGACCTGGGCGGCATGCCCCTTCTCTCTCTCAGGACAATGCCGTCCTCCGTCACGTGGGGCCTCCTCCTGCTGGCAGGCCTGTGCTGCCTGGCCCCGGCCGCCCTGGCTGAAGACGCTGCCCAGGACACGGATGCAGCCGAGCACGCTGAGGAGTCCGCCAGCCACAAGATCGCGCCGAACCTGGCCGACTTCGCCTTCAGCCTGTACCGCCAGGTGGCCCGTCAGTCCAACGACACCAACATCTTCTTCTCCCCAGTGAGCATCGCCATGGCCTTCACCATGCTCTCCCTGGGAGCCAAGGGCACCACTCGCACCCAGCTCCTGGAGGGCCTTGGTTTCAACCTCACGGAGAGAGCAGAGGCTGACGTGCACAGTGGCTTTGAGAACCTCCTCCACACCCTCAACCAGCCAGACAACCAGCTGCAGCTGACTACCGGCAATGGCTTGTTTGTCAACGACAGCCTGAAGCTGGTGGACAAGTTTCTGGAGGACGTGAAGAAGATGTACCACTCCGAAGCCTTCTCCGTCAACTTCAAGAACTCCGAAGAGGCCAAGAAAAAAATCAATGATTACGTAGAGAAGGGAACCCAGGGGAAAATTGTGGATCTGGTCCAAGAGCTTGCTGAGGACACAGTGTTTGCTCTGGTGAATTACATCTTCTTTAAAGGTAAGGTGGTACCACCAACCAGAGCTGGTTCCCATGGAAACATCCAAAACCATTCTCAAACATCAGTTCCTAAGCTTTCCTGGGCGGTGCAGGGTGCCACGTGACTGTGCATCTGGGCAGGGGAGCCGTTCTCCCCACATAAACACAGAAAAACGCCCCCGACCAATACGGTCAGCGATCGAAGAGTCAGAGCATCATCCTCCCTGCAGGACGTGCCAGAGCCTCTGTGCCTGTTCCACGTGCATCGTAGACCCCCACCAGGGATGGAGGCACAATATGCAATGTGCCCCCCCACCCCTCCCACCACACACACACACACACAACACAGAGCCACACACACACATGTTAGCAGAGTTTAAAAATAAAGAAGGTTGCCTGGACTACTGAGGTGTCGTGGGAGAAGTGGCAGCTTTAGAGTCAGAAGCACAGGGTTCAAATCCTGCCTCCACCACTCGTCAGCATCTGGCTCTCAGCAAGTCACGGTACCTCTCTGAGGGTCCAGCTTCCTATCTGGACATGAACTTAATAATCCCGTGCTGTCAGGATTCTGTAAGGAGTATGCATGTCACAAAGAACACGGGGCTACAGGCTCACAATGTGGGTGCTCAGCTGAACTTGACTCCCAGCCCGCCTTCCTCCCTCTGAGTGAAGAAAATTCCAGAAGCCTGTGGGTCCCAGAGCACATTCTGAGGCTGGTTAAACAGCCCCTGGACACAGGCTGGGGCAGGGAGGTGAGAGTCAAGGTCAGGGGCTGCTTCCTTCTCTCTGTGGACTCCTTGACCAGGGGCAGAAAGTTCCCAGGAGAGCCCCAAGGCCAGAGTCAGCACATCCTGGGCCCAGCTGAGCGGGGGCACTCCAGGCGGGTCTTGTCCCCTCTCCAGCCTCAGTCTCCACCTTCCATCCAATGAGAAAGGGGCTCAGGGCTTCCTGAGACTCTCCTGCACTCCCACCTGGCAGGGAGATTCTGGTCTCTTAGAACAGCAGAGGGGGGTGCCCAGGCCTCGGAGTCTCACGTGTTGGTCCAGAAAGGCCATTAGAGGAAGAACCAGGTGATTTCCCCAAATGAGGAGAACCCGAATCAAGGGCAGGGAGGCTCAGACCAGGAGCTGCCAAGTGTGGCTGATGCCAATCATTTTCAATCAGCCCCTTCGGGGCAACCCTCCATTACTGGTAAATGGCATGGAAGACAAGTCCACATGCTTACTCTGCCCAGCCAGGCTGGCACCCTGAGCCTCTGCAATATAGACAACGTGGACCCTCCTCCAGCAGCTTTCTCCCCACTGAAGTCCCGTCAGTGAGCGCAGGTGCCTGTGAGCTGCATTTGACAGATGGGGAAGCTGAGGCTCAGAGAGCCCTGTCACGCAGGAGGCTCAGGGCCTGCGTTCTGCCACGGGTACCTACCCCTCCCCTCTCCTGGCTGACCGGCGCCTTCCCTCTCTCCAGGCAAATGGGAGAGGCCCTTCAATGCCAAGATGACAAGAGAGGAGGACTTCCACGTGGACAAGGCCACCACGGTCAAGGTGCCCATGATGAATCGCCTGGGCATGTTCAACGTGCATCACTGCAGCAAGCTCTCCAGCTGGGTGCTGCTCATGGACTACGTGGGCAACGCCACCGCCTTCTTCCTGCTGCCCGACGAGGGGAAGCTGAGCCACATGGAGGAGCTGCTCACCAAGGAGGACCTCAGCGCGGCCCTGGCAAGGAAATCCCGCAGGTGATGTCCCTGGCCTGCGCTGGCTTGCCCCTCCAGCCTGGCAGCGGTGGGGTAGGGAGTAGGGTGAGAATGGACCACACCCTGTGCATCAAACAACTGCATGACCCTGAGCTTCCAGAGAGGCCAGTGTCAGCTCAGGCAGCACCCCGTGAGAGCGGTGCCAGCAGTGGGTGCAGGGAGAGCAGCACCAGGTGCCCTGAGGGGCAGCAGCCGCACGTGGCGTGAGGACAGAGGGTCCACGCTGTGCAGGGACAGGGCTCGGAGAGGCCAGAACAGAGAAGGCGCGGGGTGGGAGGCTGTCTGCTCCGAGGCCGGCAGCGCGTGGTTCCCCTGGGCTGGGTACAGTGACATGGGGCATGTGCCCCAAGTTAGTGCACATCGCTCTGCGCTCACAGATGCCTATCCACACACAGAGTTCATCACGCACATTTCAAACTATGCGTAAATGCATAAATGTGTGCAGTGCAAACATAAACAATCAAAAAAATCAGAATGCAAAATAAATGGACAAGTCAATAACATAGAAAAGAATACATTACAAACGTATGTATGAAGGAATATAAAAATACACAACAGTCTGAGTGAAAGTTAAGAAGACAGAGTAAAGCCCCACCCAGCAAGCCCAGGCCTGGGTGCCCTCACCAGAGCCTGAGGACAGAGAGCAAGGAGGGGCTGAATCTCGCTTGGGTCTGAGAGGGCCCGAACGCCAGGCAGCTTGCTCCTGTCAGACCTTCTGGGGCCGCGCTCTGTCCCCAGAGGAAACAAGAGAAGAGGGAGAAATGACCAGAAAGAAAAACTCTCCATGTTGTGAAATTCCTTTCCTTTCCAACCATCTTGACAGTTCTGCCCAGCTGAGTATGCCCAAACTGTCCATTTCTGGAACCTACGATCTGAAAGCCACCCTGGGCGGAATGGGCATCACCAAGGTCTTCAGTGATGGGGCTGAGCTCTCGGGGATCAGCGAGGGGCCACCCCTGAAGCTGTCCAAGGTGAGCCTGTCCCCGGGATCCTCGGGGCACGATGTGTGCGGGCTGCAGCCCGGGGAGGGGGCCCGGGGCCGCAAACGCCCCGCAGACCCAGGTCCCTGGGGAAGGCCACTGGGCTCACCAAGACCGGGACGTGCTCAGGCCCCGAGGGGGGGTGGCCTCTGCGTCCTGGCCTTTGGGACGTCCTCTGAGGCGGTGTCACTGACCCCGTCTCATCTCTGGTCAGGGTCTTCTCCTCTTTGGGCTCGATGGACCCATATTTACACAGCCAGGCTGGGGGTGAGGGATTTCCAAGGAACCCCCCTCCCGCCCTTCCTCTGGCATTGGAGCTATTGGTGAACCACAGCCACGTTAGTGAGTCACTGGGCTAAGATGCCACTTCCCAGGAGAACTGAGGGGCCGCAGCCACAGCTGCGCTCAGTACTGGCTGCACACTGAGTGCCTGGCTGTGGGCTGGACGCTATGGAGGGTCCCATCTGCTCCTGGTCCCCAAGAAGCTCACAATCGGACCCGCCCAGGGACAGAGAGTCCAAGTCCGGCTTCTGCCTCCTGGGGTGGGCTGTTTGCAGGGAGGAGGAGAACGTTGGTCCGGAGGCTGGAGGGTGGGCAGGTGGAGTCGGCAAAGGCCTTGAGAAGTGGAGAGGCTGGTGTCGCTGTGGGGGTTGGGGGAGGAGCTGGTGTCCCCTGCAGGGCGACCTGGGAGGAGGGAACCGGCCTGGGAAGCCCCGCTCCCAGCACCGCTGCCTTCCCTGGCCGACGTCCAGGCCGGGGTGGGTTTGCTGTGTCACTGAGAGCTCAGCTCTGCTCTCTCCCCTCCAGGCTGTGCATAAGGCTGTGCTGACCCTGGATGAGAAGGGGACAGAAGCTTCCGGGGCCACAGTTGTGGAAGCCATTCCCATGTCGATGCCTCCAGTGCTTAACTTCAACAGGCCCTTCGTCACGGTCATCTATGATAAAGTCACCAAAGCCCCCCTCTTTGTGGGAAAGGTGGTGAATCCCACCCAGAATTAGCTGCCGCTCTGGCTCAGCCTCCCGCCCAGGCAGGGCCCCTCCGAAGGGACAATAAAGTGACTGGCCTGGCCCAAGCTGGAGTGCGGCGTGCCAATCCCTCCTCCTGTCCCTGAGTCTCCCCTCTCTACCGGGTGGGGAGGAAGGAGGGTAGGTCACGTGCCCCCTGTGCTGGTATTTATTAGACGTGTACACGGTCCAGCCCTATGCGGGGCCGGGTGTGCAGCTGCCGACAGCACGGCCTGCTGCCTCTGCCCATCACCTCGCAACAGCGTGGGACACATTTCAACCTACCTGGTTCCTGCCACGTGGCATCCCTGTGGTTCTCAGAGGAGGCTGCCCTGAGAGCAACCCCTCCCCCCACACAGGCAAATACACACACACACACACACACACACACACACGCGCGCGCGCGCGCGCACACAGACAGACACACACACACACACACACACCACATACACACACACACACACACACACACACCACACACACACACGCACGCGCGCACACACACACACAGACACACACACGCACACATACACACACACAGAAACACACGCGCACGCGCACACACATACGCACACAGACACACACGTGCGCGCACACAAACACGCACACAGACACACACACAAACACACGCACACACACATACACAAACACAAATACACACACACACACACACACACACACACCCTGCAAGCGGTCAGGAAGCCGGGCAGTCCCTCAGCCTGGAGCAGTCAGCTCCCTGAGCTCTTGGGGATGGGCATGGCCTGGCATCAGGGTCAGACGTAGAAGGACCTCCCCCTCTCACACAAACCTCACAGCCACAGTCTGAGCCACCCACTGGGGATGTGTCCACCTACAGCACAAGGATGTGTCACAGAATGTACACTGTTTAAGTCAAAATGGCCACATACGTGCACTGTCGCATTATTCATGTAATGGATGGAGATTCACCTGTTTCCCAAATAAGCCTCCTGTCCTCTCCAGTCTTCCCAGCCTGGAGACTTCCAACTTCCTCTCATTCCAGTAACGATACGAACATTGTCAGACACCTACAATGATGCCAGCCCTGAGGATCTGAGGACCTGGGTCAAGTTCAGACTCTGCCACTTGCCAGGGCTATGACTAGAGAAGTTGCCAAACCTCTCTGAGCACAGTATATCCCCATCCTAAATAATAATCCTATATAATAAAGAACTAATATGCTAATTAGACCCAATAGCAGAACAAACAACAGGACAATCATCTGGAGGAAGCCTGGGCTGCAAAGGCCTACTCTTGCACAAATTTCATGCACCGGGCCGCTAGTGTGACTATAAACGCTACCTGGTCTTCCTGTGAGGTTCACATCGGATACTTAAAACAGCCTTCAAAGGGCAGCAGAGCAGGGCACCAGTGCCAGGGATTTATTTGTGGCACTACAAGCTCTTCCTATATGCCAGGCTCCCTGGCAGGGGCTGCGCAGGCATTTTCTCAATGAATCCTCAGAGCAGCATTGATGCTGTGAACAGAGATGCTTTGCTCTTACATGCCCATTCTACAGATGAGGACACTGAGGCTCAGGGAGGCTAGTGGGCTTGCTCAAGATTGCAAAGTTAGTGAGTGGTACAGCTGGTTTCAGGGGCCTCCCTGGTCCTTCACACCTCACCACATCACCGACATCCCCTCCCAGACCGCTCCATGGGCTTAGCAGAGCTGAATCCCCCATAATCCTGAAGTATGAGGAAGGCTGGGGCCCAGAACACACCTCTGCACAGAAAACACCCCTTGCACACCTCCTCGTAGGAAAGCAGCTGATCACTATAGCCCCTCCCCCCAAGAGTGCTGAGCACACAGCCCTCAGCAAGCAACCCGCACTCCCCACCGGCCAGTACTGGCATCCATGGGAGTAAAGGGGCAGTTGGAACTCTGGAGAGTCCAGGGCACGGCCAAGAAGGCTGAATGCGCTGGGGCACTCCCTGGAGACGCCATCGTTTCACCTCAAAGGGGGCCCTGTCACTATGCAGTCTGGACTCTGGCTGCAGAGAGCCAATCCAAGGAGCTTACAGCTCCCAGAGAATTCACTGGCTCAGATGGGAACCACGGGACCCATGCATGGGGTGGGCAAAGAAAGCATTGGGCAGCCTTGTCCTAGGAGAGCAGGCCACGGTCAGGCAGGACGGCCATCAGCCTCAGCTTTGCCTTTTCTTTCCTTTTTTTAAAAACATATATTGTTGATATTTTACAGAGAGAAGGAAGGGAGAGAGATGGAGAGCTAGAAACGTCTATGACAGAGAAACATCGACCAGCTGCCTCTTGCACGCCACCTACCAGGGATGTGCCCTCAACCAACGTATATGCCCTTGACCGGAATCGAACTTGGGACCTTTCAGTCCACAGACCGACGCTCTACTACTGAGCCAAACCGGTTTCGGCATCAGCTTTACCTGTTCTTTCGTGTTTCCAGTGTATCCACGACCCTCAAACTCAGTCCTCGAAGGACACAGCCTAGGAACCGTTACCTCCAATGGCAAGTGGGGAGCTGGGGTTCCGGCCAACAGAAGACCCAGGCCTAGAAGGCAGGCGCCTCACTTCAGCCGGGCCACCCCTACAGTCCCCAGACCATCTCAGACCGCTGACCAATTCCAGCCTCCAGCCCACTGGAGCCTGCCTCTCTTGCCAACACCAGCTGGCGTCACCGGTGCTGGGCCTGGGCTGGTGCTGGTCAGTCTCCCCTTGAGTGGGGCCCAGCTCCCCTGTGAAATGGAGAAAACTCACAGCGACCTCTGGGATGCCGCAGGGACTGCCTGGCTGAGACAGTCACGCCGCTATGGCTTTGCAGGGCAAGGCACAGCTAGTTGACACGCTGCTGAGTTTCAGTGGGAGCTCTGCCCTGACGGGTGGGCACCAGCTCCCTCCTGTCACTGAGGATGACGCTTCCTAGCCTGTGTCCTCAAAGGGCTAATTTTGAGGGTCGAGGGAAACCTTGGAAAGACTAAAATGGAGACCCAGTTCAAGGGGGCTCGAGGTTCTCACACATGTGCACTGCCTCAGAAATGCAAACTACAGATTACATACTGATTCCCACCCGAGGGCCCCCCTTGATCCTCTCCGCAAGGCCTCTTCAGCAGGAAAATACAAACAGCCCAGCAGGTGTGGCTGAACACTGACCTGTGAGCCAGGAGATCAGGGTTCAATTCCCGGACAGGGCATACAGGGTCTAGGCTTGATCCCCAGTGTGGGGCATGCGCGAGGCAGTGATACTCTCTCATCACTGATGTGTTTTTTTCTCTCTCTCCCTCTCCCTTCCTCTCTGAAATCAATTTAAATAAATATGTATCTCTCTCTCTCTCTCTCTCTCTCTCTCTCTCTCTCTCTCTATATATATATATATATATATATATATATATACACCTAAGCGACCGTTATTACCAGTCAACCAAACGACTGGTCGCTGTGACCTGCACTGACTACCAGGGCGCAGACACTCAACGCAGGAGCTGCCCCCTCATGATCAGTGCGCTCCCACAGTCAACCTCCTCTAGCTGGCCAACCTCCCATGGTCCCTCCCCTGGCCGGCTGGCCCTTATGGCCCTGATAGGGTCTGGGCTAGATGGTAACCGCAGGGCAGACCCCAGGGAGGGCCTGAACACAGGCGGAGGCGACAGATAATGAGCAGGGCCCTGTGCTCTCAAGCCCAAGCCGCCCCAAGGCAGTACTGCCTGTGCCACTTGTCACTGGGCAGCGATCTGGGCACAGAGGGCACGCCGCGCAGGGGCAGATGGGGCTGTGAGCATGCTCTTCAGTGTCACAGCGGGGCTTCCACAGGGAACACAGCCACAAGAGCAGAGTCTCATTTTCATTGAATGTGTTGGGGTGGCATGGTTAATAAGACCATACAGGTTTCAAGTGCACTCTGTAACACTTCACCTGCATGCCTCCTGCATCACGCACTCACCACCCAAAATCAACTCTCTTCCTGCCCCATTGATCCCCTTTCACCCTCTGCCACCTGCCCACCCCCACCCTCCAGCTATCACCACATTGTTCTCTAGGGGTCCCTTTCTTTGTGTCTTTGGAATAGCTCAAGTGCTCATCAGTTGATGAGCAGATAAACAAGCTGTGGTACATTTACCAGGGGTGGGGAACCCTTTCTCTGCCAAGGGCTATTTGGATTTTTATAACATCGTTCGCAGGCCATGCAAAATTATCAACTTAAAAACCAGCCTGCTATATTTGGCCAAACATTTAATTAACTCACCCCTAATGCCTTGGCAGGGCCAGACCAAATGATTTCATGGGCCTTATGTAGCCCTTGAATTAGATGATCCCCATCCTTGATTCACACAATGGAATACCACTGAGCCATAGAAAGCAAGGAAATCTTACTTCTAAGACAGCTCGTTTGGACCTGGAGGGCACTGTGCTAAGTGAAATAAGCCACTCAGAGAAAGACAGGTACCGTGTGATCTCCCTTATGTAGAATCTAATGAACAAAACAGACTCACCGATACAGAAAACAGACTATCAGTTTTTAAAAGCCATGCTCCCTTAGTCAGCAGTTATCAATAGCCTCAGTGTGTGATCACTGGCACTTCCTTTCATCCTCAGCTGACTTTCAGCATGAAAATATTAGGAAGAAAATGCTAGAGGCAGTACCACAATGCACAAAGAGCACAGGAATCCCAAATCAGCATCCCATTAGTAGAGAACCATGAGTTTTTCCGAGTGCTGTGTGCCTCAGTTTCCATCACTGCAAAGTGGAGATAATGAGACCCAACGCTAACGTTTCTTCTGTGGACTATTCTGCAGAGTGTTCTGTAGTGCTGGTTCTTGCCAAATATGACATGTTTCTCAAGACTGTAGATTCCAAAGGTAATGATTCTGGGCTAGCCTCCCACTTCCCTGTCCCCATTCACTGACAAAACTAAGAGGAGTAACTTGCAGACTGCAACAGTTGGCTACCGTGGAGGAGGAGCAGGAGCCAGACAGCCTGGGATCTTCCACAGCCTCCCACGGGC